CGTATGCTTAAGGCAGCGCTCGTCTCGATCGATGCCAATGATCCTTCGCATGCAGGCTACAGGATCATATGAAAAATATGAGAACAGAAGTCGCTTGAGCTCCGTGAACTCCCTGGCTTCCGTGAGTGCATCTTCCAAAGCATCCACCTGTTGATGGATGCCATGCCACTCCTCTGGCTCATTGAAGATTCCAACTGTCTTGGAAGTCAGAGCTTCATGATATCTCTGATTCTATTCACTTCATTAACATCCACTCCCCGAAGCTCTGCTCCATCTTCGGTCAACAAAGTCTCCATACCCGATGGTGCCTCCGGATTGATCAGGACCTGACATGCTCAGTAGCAGGCTGGTTTCATTTGCGGCAAACTATTGGTAAATTCCCAGCTCGAGACATTTCATGGATAGCTGAGACATGAATCGCTGATCATCATTGCTCGCCAACAACTCGATTCCCCGTCTACACGATAAACTCAATTTCAAGCAACCTCAAGAGAAGTGCACTTCCTTCGCTGATCTTTCCTATTATACGCTGATTGATGAGTTACAGCTGGTACCGGTCAACCAGTTGTGCTTCAATCGTGTTCTGAGTGAGTTTGTTGTGAAAAGTTGGACCAGTCAAAATTACCGCAGGAACGGAAAATATACAAAAACCCTCCATATCCAAGGAAGATTTTGCCCGCTTAGATGCTTTCAGCAGTTCTTCCATACCAACTTAGCTACCCGGCGCTGCTATTGGCATAACAACCGGTCCACCAATTACTTGAAGAGTGAGATTTTTTTAACGGAGAACTCTTTGGGGAATTTCGAATGCGAGTATGGGTAATTTTTGTGCTTCCAAGCACAATTTGGTTCCTGATACTTAACTCTTGTCGATCGGAGAAACTCGCCCTGGAGATCTGGGATCTTTGGAGATGGTTCGCTGTCATGGTTCTATTTATGAGCTAAGTCTGAGTCCTCATTCTAGGAGGGACATGCCCGCACGGTTGTGCATCTAAAAATTGGACAACCTCAGTTCTTGGCCTGACGTTTGACACTCAAGCGAGAGCTTCAAATGCGGAAACGCGAGTGTCCACGTTTTCTTTCCTTCAGCTCGACGAAGATGTAGAAGAACACGTTCAGCTTCGCCGAGTCTCATAGGACGGGTACAGCCCCGAATGTTCCGAATTCATAGTTCAATAAACTATCTTCTTAGATTTCCTAGATTCCTTCCTTCGGCAACTTCAAGGACCCACTTCTTATATTCTCATGGATCTCGGTGCTGAGATCCAAATTACAGCAGTGTTGGAACTTTAATTAGAGCCCTTCAAAAACCTGTCATGTCCTGATGCAACGATATATGCTGAAATTCTCAATATTTCAGGGATGATGATTAGTCTTCAAGCTTTAGCTCCGAATCTGCATGATCTCCCTCTTATTTACGTAGACGAACGTGTGCAGATCAACTGGAGATAGAGTTCACAGTCCAGTGGAAGTCAAGGCTCAGTCGTCTTCGACCAAAGTCCACAAAAGGTCTCACGTAGATTAGTTTCATTTACTAAGATTTTGTTTGGAAGGGAAAGAGCCTGAGAAACAGCAAATTTAAGAGAATCAGATAACATCTTCTTCTCTACATCTTGACGAAGAGAGCTACTTTTGTAGGACAACTTCAGCAAAGGAGGACATGAATTTCTGATAGAGTCATGTAACATATTCTATTACGACTGAAAATCAGTCTCATGATAAAACATTAGCGAACTGTACATATGGCAATTCATGCAAAGCGGAAAGTACCTCCCCTCGGACCAGAGTTTACTTTGAGTTCCTTTTCTTTCCATCCGCTTGTACAAACGTGTTTGAAAGCCATGCTCATTCTTATCCGGATTTAGCCATCATTGATGCCGACCCAAACCGTGTCAAACTAGAATCATCCATTTTATTGAGCGACTGTAACAATAAACAACCTTTGCAATAACGAGTGCAAGATCATGATTCGTGTGCATGACCTTTACGTCGGAACCAGTTTCTAATCTGCGTTCTGAACGGCTCTGTGTGCAGCATGGATATCATAAAGTACGAGGTGTGGGTCCTTGAACCTATTATCATCCCCACGGGAGATTCTGTGACAGTTGTGTTCTAAAGATATGTGAAGACGGGAGGGGTTTGCGTTTGAGATTCGGCAAAACTCGATTTGCATCCTGTGGAGGTGTCTGGAGTCCCACACTTTTGCTAAAACACTTCGCTCGACGCACAAACAACAACAAACTCCTTCGACGTTCGGTAAAAGTCAAGCTTTTCCGCCTTGAATTCCAGGCCTGCGACATCTACAGTTCTGCAACATGTCGAGACCTCATTTCATACGAAAATTCCTCCTCTCATCCCTTTGGAAGAACAATAATCGGCCAAGAAATCAATGCACTCCCTTGAATTTCCTCATTTTACTAGATTTCTGATCAAAATAAAGTTGACCCTAAGAAAGCTAGAGAGGATTTTAGAACCTAGATTTCTTTTTGCTTCAAGAGCTTAAGGACATCAAAGGTTTCTCTTTCATTCTGCTTCAAGACCTTCAGAAGCTTAAACTTGAGATATATGAGCACCTTCATGCTCAAGAATTTAATAAATTTTTTTGAATATTGAGCAGGTGGTACGAGCTGCAGCGTACATCGATTCTGAGCTTCACCACGAAAAGCCAGTGGAGAGTTCTGCGTGAGAAAACATGAAGGAGCTGAAGATAGCCAGATATATTATTTATAAACGAAAGTTGCCACTTTTGACATCTACTTGTGATATCGAATCACCTTCCGAAGAACAAACCTGCATCCTGAAAGCAGAAAATAATTGCCAATTTAGAAGCACAATCGATTTCCATGAACATAGAAATCTGGACTCAGCTGCCCTTCGAGAATTTCGATCTCTAAATGAGTTCCTGATCTGCACTTCCGAAACTGGAAGAATCCCAAGGCAATCTCCGAGTTGAGCACTTGCAGTATTTCTGGGAGTGACAATCGCTTGAGAATTCAAACTCTTCAATAGTCTGTTAAACGTGACACTTTGTATTCCGTGTGTTGACTCTGTCCCTGTGGGTTCGACCTTTTTGCTACTATACTGCAGTTTTAGCCTTTGGTGGGTTATTACACCACTGGCGATGCATGCACGCCCTGAGCTATAAAAGCTGCTGAGCTTTGTTATCTTCTCACCGTGTCCGGTCCAGGAGCGAACACAGCTCTCGAAGAGCTATGTTCTCTCAACGAGCGTAAGAGATACATATACAATAAGGCCAAAATCCTAATATGAGCAACCTGATATATTAAACCTAACATCATCGACGAAACCTCTCGACTTGGATTATCGTTAACACTACAAAAATATTATTAGATCAAAATTTTCTATAAAAATAAAATAAAATATATTTAACTTAATGTGAATCTTCAATTTAACTCTCATTATCCATTCTTAGCATAAATTTTAAATTTAATTCAATGTTGTAAAAAATAAAATATTTATATCATATCATATTTTAACTTGTATCTAGAAATGATTTTAGCTTGAGATTTGATCATTTATATTATTATTCAATTTCAACACTACATATAGATTTGATCTATAGTTCAAAAAAAAAATTATTTAAGATCACTATCTATGATTACTTGATTTCATAAAATATATTAGGAAATCTGTTGTTGCAAATTTTTATCAGTATATTTTTTTCTAAACATGTAAATAATATCAAACTAAGAATCTTATCTCTATCTATCAGTCAAAACATTGAACTCTTATTTGTGATACATTTGAAGTTTATATTACATCCACACAATGGGATATAAACATTTACTTTGAGTTGAAATTGAATTGTTTTCATTCAAATGAAAACAATTCCTCCTCTCTTACCTCCTCTATCTCTGGATAAATTTGGATGAGAAATTATATCATTTCTAAGCTTAAAAACATATATGTAAAAGTCTATAGATTTTTAACTATATGAATCTATACATTATATTGTTGAATATTTGTTACCATAGATGACAACCAAAAAACTCTAAGAAAATCGTATGAGAGTAGAACAAATTCAAAGAAAGATTTTCTTAAGATTTAAGTTGGAACTTGATCATGCAATCGTAATATCTTTATCCCGTCAAGGGGTAATATTTCTAACATTCCAATAAACGGAGGTGACGAATGAGATAGTGAAGAATGATCTATACAAGGAATTCAATTTAACTACTTGTTCATGATCTAATGTTTTGAACACAAGAGTATAACATGTTGGATATCTTAGGTGAAATACGGTATGTTCTTCACAATTGCATCATTAAAATTTCGTCATTTAAACGTTGACTTCAATTCTCGCTTCTAATAAGGAATAGGTATATCTATCTTTTTTAGTGAATTAGTGGTCTCCGGGGTTGATATGCAAGATGTATTTGACTGGTCATTTGTCAAGTTAAATATCCAAATGACACATCAAACCATCTACTCACGTCATTCGCTGGAGACTGTTCACTGAGAAGGATACTATTTATCCTTTACTGAATAATGGGTGCGTTGATTTCCAAACGCTCCTCTCTAACAGATTTTCTGTTGTTCGAGATCATACATGGGTTGCAATAGTATAATGTTGCAACTTGCAGATACATTCCTTGTTCCAAGTGCCTAGGATATCCTTGGCACTATGTATAGGACACAAGTAATCCACTTGGAATTGAAATCTATAGCTTGTTTTGATGAGTCTGAAGAACGCTGAAATCACTTTCTGATGTCCATGTCAAATTAATTTTGATAGCACTAGTCTTCACCAAACCCATAACCTGGGATAGTGAACAATTTTTATGAAACCACATGCCTCCTGGCTTGCCTGGGGGCGACTTCATATGTCATGGCCGTAAGTAATGCGTTGAAACTATGACTCAAGAGAACAAATTGCATTCTATAAATCATAAGATACAAACAACGTGCAGACAAAAGTTAGGGGTGCCATCACTTCGAAGTACAACAAAATGCCTTAGCACTAGTAACTCTTGTACGTAAAAGATCTCTTTACTGAAAGAATCACACCAATTGTAAATAATTGGTAGGCTAGTCTAGTCAATTTGAAGGTTGTTTCTATCTGAAAGTGAAAGTGTCAGAAACCTTGCATGCCCTTTGATTACGTCCGACACATGAGCTCAACACAGTAACAAGGTCTGTTCCTACGCAGGAGAGGTAGTGGGAGGTTCAAAGCTAATATGTAGCCTCCGAAATCCTTACTCATGAGACCCTCCTCTTACCTGATTTGACTCGAAAATAAGTATGTATCTTGTTTCTTACATTCCACTATAAACTATTACTCCAGCTCCTGCATGGTCTATTGGAGTTGGTAGAGGAGACAACATCTTTAAAACATGGATGACATTCCTTTTGTACACTAATTACTAGACTACTCAAAACGTCCCCGTCAAGCCTGTAGCAGGATGGGACCAATCCATGAGCTAAACATATCACTGAGGGCAATTTGAACTTCCCCTGAACCATGTTCGCAGCTAATAAGCCCCGCCAGCAAGGGGAAAAATCGAACGAGATATCTTTCGAAAGAGGAATCTTTCAGAGCGCTCACAGCTTGGAGAGTGGCCACAACAAGCGGAGCACGGGCCATGAGCTCCCTTCTTCTGGCCGAGCCAAGAGGGACAACCCACTGCGGTGGATGGACCTTCTCGTTGAAGTTGTTCACACTCTGGGAGAAAGGTGCGGTCGATGTATGCACATACAATTTCAAGACCTCCTCGCAGAGTCCTACAAGACGGGTCTCAACCTCCACATCCTTCGCAAGCTCCGGCTTATCGACAGTTAGGCGCTGTAACATGGTGAGATATGCATGGTATGACTCACTTTCCAGGCGTAATAGTGGGGGATCGGGCATCTGAGTTGCCATCCGCAGTTGCTGAAGTCTTATCCGCAAGTCATGGTCCCCATTCACATCGTGCGCATGCCCTGCAATTTTGTGGAGTGTGTCTAGCAACAACATGGTGTGCTTTGCTGACAACTGAGCACCATGCATGTTGTACATTTCTGTGATGGCCTGTAATTACATACACAAGGCTATCAGTTTGACAGAGCCAGTATCAAAAATGGAGTAAAAGGAAATAAAAATCGGACAACGCGTAAGCCAAACTTCGGCCCTCTTTGCGGTTCCAGGATCCCGATGCACCATCCAGATCCTGACCCCACGAAGGTAGAGCAAACACAATAAAATGGGTACAGTAGAGACTTAAACAAACTTCACAAAGAGTGAAAGAAAATGCACGGACCTGCACCAGCAAGAGCTGGACTGCCGTTCGACACCTCACATCAGATATCCACATTTGCAAACGATGCGCTTGACCAATCTCCAACTCTTCTTGCGCAGCAGTATCTCCTTGTTGTCTATGAGTGTAAGAAAGACGCTCCTCAGCCAAGCTTGCGGCTTGTATCTCCTCTCCACATTGAACAAGCTTTAGCATATCTGGCAGCGTTTCGGTAGCAGCCTCAAACAAGCTTTCCAAGACTTCTTGCCATTTATCGTCGGAGAACAGATTTCCAGCATTTGTCATCAGTCGGACAAATGCTGCAACACCAATCGCAGCTAAACTCTGATGTGGCCGTTTGATGAAGCCTGTTAGGAGAGAGAGGATTCTGTCCAGCAAAGGGTTGACAACAGGGTAAAATTTTACGAAGAGGTCGACTACGAGCTGTAACGCCAGCGTACATGTTTCATACAGCCATGCGTCCATCTCCAATTCTGCCTCCTCCTTCTCTGGGACACCCCTCACATGAACAGCGGGTTCCGTGGCACGGCGAACGTAATCAAAAATTGGGAAAAGAACTGAGTCGAACACTTTCTCCCACAGACCTGGGGAGAAAAGATGTCCATGATACCGCAGCGTATCAAAGAGAACTTCCAAAGCACTTTTTCGGATGTCAGGGCGGGGATCAAAGGTCAACTCGGACAAACCTGATGGAAAACGAAAGCGAGTCATTAGGAATTAGGGCTTAGACACTTCCTGAAAGAATATACGCAAAGCCCATAATGCGGGGGACCACTTAAATCAATTATCATATCTACTTACTTCTGTTAATAACGTATCACAGAATCTGAATATAGTGCTAAGAGAGAAGATGCATTTGTTTGTTAGTTTGTCTTATCTTATCAACCCAACATTTCTTCCACACGTTCACACCCACACATAAAGGACCAAACAGAGTGATTCTGTATAATCATATCCTAGCAAATGGGTAATCGCAGGGAAGCATGTCCTCTAAAACTTGCATATATCGTAAGAAGGGGAAGTACAAGACATGTCCATTGCATCATGTAAAGGAATGCAAGGGAGAAGAGGTTATGCAAATATCGTATACGAAGTATGGACGCGGAAATCATACTTAATTGATGCACGAAACAATTTGACAGGTCCAAGAACATATAACCCAACAGTTTGGACAAATCAAGCATGCCCCAAATTTCACGAAAAGGCTCACAACACCTTTATAGTTACGTTTCGTAATCTGATAAGCCAAACATTACCCATCATACTTCGAACAACCCAGTGGTGAGGACTGAAGGCACTGGCACTAAAGTATAAGATGTGTGCTCTCTCACCTGCAAGGAGAGGAAACCAAAAGTAAAGATGATCCTCTTTATCTGTGAACGTGGGAAACTGAGGCACCTCCTCTGCACCTTCCAGCCTTGGAGAAGAAGAAGCAGACTTTCCAAACTTGTCGGTTTCTTTATTCCTTGTAGCCCCAAGTTCACCTTCAGCCAACTTCAGAGCACAAAACCTCAAGAAAGCGATAGCATTCAAACTCACATCTTTGTTGAATCTGCTGTTGGTAAACGCGATCAAACAATTGACACAGTCTGTAAACGTTGTGGTTTCCGTTTCTGTTATGTACGGAAAATACTCCCTAACAATTTTCTCGATAGTCTCAAACGCTAAAAGAACAATTGTCTTGTGGTCATCCGTGGCTGCGGTTGTAAAGACCTGCCAAAAAAAGGGTACCCCAGCTTACAAAGTCAGAAATAGGAATTAAAAAGAGTTACTCAGTCTGTACATTCTGACCACATTGAACTTAAACGGCTATTAGGCTGACCATATTGCGTGATGGAGAATATACATAAATGACTAGTATATCTAATTGTATAATCAGTACTCGGTAACAAAGAGCTCAGCACATCAGGTGGCACTCAATACTATAAGACAAAGATCATTTATACTGAAAGAGGAGTATACTAACTTAACAGATAGAACTTTGTAAGCCGTACATTATCGAACTACAGTGCGTGCATACAAACTTGGACTTAGAGCTCCACTGATAAGATGCCAAGATATTTCTAAGAAGAAACAAACCCAAATTCGTGACAGAGCCAGGAGTTCAACGCCTACCATGAACATGATCTTCCAGCCTGACTTGACTTGACCAACCCTTGCAAAGACCATCTGAGATACACAACGTATGATGAGCTCTCTGATTTCCACGGAACTGCTCTTTCTCATGACGATGACGAATGGCTTCATGAATTCGTTCTGAAAGTTGTAATTTGCCAGCTCCTCACGTTCTAAAAACTTCATGGCCAGTTGACGTAGAGAATCCATTGCGTACATGGCAACTGACAGGTTGTCTGAGCACCCAACAGTCACAAAAAAGTCTGCCAACACGTGCCATATGCGCGACCACACCAGTCTGATACGGTTCATGTTGAAGTGCCTGTAAAAGAACAGGTTCTTAGCTTCTTCTCGATATGGCAGTCTAGGATGACTCTGTTAAGAGTCAAAAGCATCTGCTAGAGAAGAAATTCCCCGACCTCAAAGCATCGAGAATGGCACCCAAGGTATGACTACAGATAGATAAAGTTTCAAGAACACATCGCCAGAGAAGAAGTAAAAAGACGACGAAATGAACATTCTCTAATATGCACCTATTTCTTATCGGCCATAAAATCAGGACAGCAATGGATACAATGACACAAATCACTATATTGACATGTCCTCCGACGAGATGAAGCATATAACTGCTTATGTTACACAGAAAGTATACTGCGGAGCAGATGACGGCGATGCGTATGCACATAGTGAGACTTTGGACATGTACGCAAGGTACGCAGACTTACGCTATCTCGACGATTTTAGTTAAACTGAAGACCCGAGGGTCGCTTGGGGATCGCAATTCTTCCATAGACACCTTGCAGAGAGCCTTGACGAAGTCAACAATAGCCTCACTGTTCAGCCTTTGACTACGGGTGAAGATCTTATTCATCTCAAAACTGCCAATCTGCTCCAACATGTTTAAGTTAGAAACGAGATTGTTCATCTGCTCAGTCGTAACCACTCCTGAGGAACCTCCCCCAACTCCTGCACTATCATAGGACCCTCGCCTTGCTGCTGCAGCAGCATACTGCAGTCGAGAACCTCCTCCCTTTCTTCTCAATACAGGGAGCACTGGCGATTTGATTGACTGCCGTTTCTCTGCATCACTCTGAGGTGCAGCGAAGAAGGTGGCATCAGGAGGAGCACCTTCACCAATCAAGTGTAAGTGCTCAAACCGTGATACACATGTAAGGATGTGCTCCCAGGCCTCCAGGAGATAGTTACCATCTTCGTCGGCTACGGAAATTATGGCCTGCAATACAACCACGACGAACTTTTGATGAGTTTCTTTAAACAAAACTCCTCATCTGTAGCACAAAACAGGATTCGACTCCAGCGCCATCCAGGTCTATTATGCCTACTTCGGACAATTCCTAGAACCAAGTTGGTAGGTTTGCACTTCCAGTTGTAAGACAATATACTATACATAAAATTTACAAAATCAGGTTCGTATATATGTACAGCATCGGTACATATCTATTGGTCAGCAAATACAATAAGGTGGTGGTGCAAAGGACGCTAACTCGTATAGCACATGAAGCGGAATATCCTAACCTCACATGACCTAAAGTCCGACGTATATCTAGAACATACCTTAATAGCATCAATATTCTTTTGCTTGATATCCGCTGCAGAATGCAGGGAGGTGAACTTTGCCAGGGAAGTGATGAATGCATCTCGCTGAGTCTTCATAGCAAGTACGGATGTAATGTGGATTGCGTGTCTGAACCCTTCAAGGCATTGAAATGTAACCACTTCATCCTCGCTCTTATCGAGTGGGACACTGAAAGCAGCCAGCATGGGAGCCCACGTGACATCCACCATCGGTCTCAACAGCTCCACGTCAGTTGCGGCGTAGTAAACAGACCTGTCAACAAACCCGGAGGCACATGAGTCTACAACGTTCCACAACAGCAACTACCGAACATCACCAAATGTGTCCGCTCTTTTGTTCCTCTTCTCATCAAAACAGCAAAACTCACTCGGGTTTGCCAGCCTTCGCCTTGAACTGCTCCTGCATATGCCGAATGACATCATCACTGGTCTCCAACATGACTGAAAATTCTCTTGGCTTGCGAATGACGATGTTAAGAATAGTATCGAGGCCAGGAAACCTATTGTTGGCGGGCTGTTTACTTGGAACGAACGTATCGGCCTTCATCTTGATTTCATTTGAAACGATACGGTCATAGAGACCATTCATGAAGTCCTCAGGTAGGTCTTTTCCGTCATCAATTCCACGGTTGTTCCGAATGAACTCAGCTTTCGACATCTGCAACAAACAGCATGATATTCATAAAGTGACTTCATGGCACTGCATCGGGAGAATGCCCCGCTTCAGCAGACCTCAAACATCATGACCTTAATGACCTGCATTCTACGTTGTGGAAAATAGACACCTGGCCACATTAAGCACAATTTCCCTGCTGATGACCTAAATCTATCCTGTTCTCTCGAAAAACTGGCGATCTTACATCCAGTGCTCAAAAACCACACGAAAACAGCTGGATGAACACTACTAAGTCAACAATAAAGCGGGGACTGCAACCCACCTTGCTTTTAACCATAGGGCTGTGTGCATCTGTGTTGAGCATAATCACAGAGTATGCCAACACGTATGCTGTATCTGCACTTGTAAATGCCTTTGGGTTGCACTTGCAGTATCTTTCGGCGAATTTCTCCATGATTCGATCAATTTTTTGAGCCTCTCCAGGTAGACGGAATCCCAGTAGAAAAGATCGTATAGCCTCATCAAAATCTTTTCCTTCGAAGTTGAACGAATCCACGTATGCGTGCATCACCTTCAGCGAGAATTCTTCTTTCTCTCCCAGGTAATCACCGACCATAGTTTTGTCCAGACCGGTGGCATTGATCAGAAAAGCAGCAACGTCCTCAGGCGTACTACCCAGCTTCTCAGCTTTGATCAAAAATTCCACACCCTTACGAGGCTTCTTGTTGAAGAGGGCTATGCCTTCCTGCATATATTGAACAAGGAGGTTACTTACTAACATTTCAAGCACTCCACACACTCGCGAAAATGAGAAATTTGCTGCATACAAGAATGCCGACTGATGCAAACCCAGGTAAACAAAGGTTTGCTAAGCTGATGCTCTAAGCTCACTACTCCATAGTCATGTAGACAATACAAAGGTATGGAAATCAACTCATGAATCATGAAATAAAGATAGAACCCAAAAAAAAATCGTCACGTAAAACTCAAGGTGAGTGCAAGGTTCACGAAAAATAATCGAAACAATCGGTAGCACCTGAAACTCTAGCTTGTACGCGCGCCGCTGCTCAATGGTCGCAATCTCTGAAGTTTCTGCTCCTGGCTCCGGGTGGTTTTCTACTGGCTCCGTAGTTGGGGCAGGTTCTTCGGTGCCCTCCTGTACTGGCTGACCATCAATTACAACATCTTCTGAATCCGATGTTTTCAAGTAAGGCGAGTCCGTCAAACGTAGTTGCCGATTCAGCCAGTCTCCCATGGATCTCAGAACTCCTACGAGACACTTAATAGCTGCCAGCTTCAAAGATCCGTCCAGCTGGGGATTAAGAGTCGTTTCTGCACCTGGAGGTACCCCTTGCGCAGTTTTGAGAAGCCCATTCACCATTCTGCACGTAATAGAAAGAAGGCCAGAATAGAAAGATACTCAGCGTTCAAGGCGGCATCTAGAGGACGAGAGGCGACAAAAATTATGCTTGGCAGTAGCTAGGACGAGTTTGTAAAGACTGTAAATGTAAAGTCAACCACAAGATTACCTCTCAAAGATATTGGAAGAGTCGACATCACAGTCGTAGTTCACAAATATATCCACAAGGATTTGGGGATCCACACACAATTTCTCCAAGAAGCGCAGTACTATCATCTTCTGCTGGAAATTCGGATGGGCCACATTCTCCAAAACTCTTAGAACAATCATCGGGAAAAATACTCCTATTTCAGCTTTCAACCCGGCTCGAAATCTGGAGACGAGACTCATGAAAATGGAGCAAGAGAGTTGAAAGACATTCATCATTGGTGATGCAATGTTCTTCAAAAGCGACAAACAGAGATACTGCTTGATCGCGCCCAAAAACCTGCAAGCCACTAAAGACATGAAATAAGTTTTGCAAGATGAAAACCAGCCGTATTTCTAGTGCAAAGTCAACACCATTCCCATAGCTCTCGTGATCAGAGAACCGAGAGGCCAAGAGCTTGAGCAGAACGACGTCCAAAACTCACTTTCAGACAGGGACAAGAAAGTACAGGAAGAAGAAGGGCCAGACTTCATTTCATAGGTCACATTCTAACTCGATATAGGTCCTACTATATCCCAAAACAAGAAAAAGGTAGAAATTTAGAATTTGAAACGCAAGGACTGGGTAGGATAACATATCCAAGTAAAATACCGGAGAAACTCAGGTCCGATCTGCAAGATTTTGACCTCACAGCCCGTAAACGAAGACCACTGATATGCTAAGAAAAAGTCAACGGCCTGACAAGCTAGGACGTAAACCCCATCTCAAAATCATCGTGTTTCTCACATAAAGGTTACAACGTTCAAATGTCCAGTAGGGGAAAATCAGGAACTGTCGGGCAGAAATTTGCAGCTTACCTGTCACTGGTACGAAAGACAGCCCCAGCATTTTCCAGGAGAATTTTCAGAAGCTCCAGCGCTACGATCTTTCCACGAAGCGAGAATGGATCTGCAATACCCTCCTGTGGTGGATTTTTCATGGATAATTTACAAAGTGCCCTAAATACGAGGAATGCGTCTCTTCGGAGCTTATTCGTTATTTGAACGTCCACATCGCCCTCTTTGTCGACATCGCCATCTGCCACTTCAGCCTTCCTGTTGTCCAAGGCGTTCTTATACATGCTAATTTCCCAGTACTTGGCGTCCAGCATATCCTTGTCTGTCGATTCTAAAATATCAGTCGGATTACTGCTCTCACTGGCTGTCGCATCGAATGCACCATCGTGCTTCATCGTCTTCAACGGAGGCATAGGGCTGAGAACCACTTCAATATCCTGCACAACCTTGGTGATAAATCCTTGAACAAACTGCGTCACGTTGGTATCAGAATTCGACCTTTCGGCTGGTTCCATCAGATCAGCCACCACAATTGGTTGGACGGGCACAGTGGAAGAATCAGCTTCCATCCGTCTGAAAACAATTACCAGCATTTGCGTCAAGGAAGCCTTGGCGGTCGACTGATTGACAGGGCTTTTGCTCCCGAGGAAGATATTGTAGCAGGTTCGCACGCCTTTCAAGAGACAGTCTCCATGGACACGCAAGGAGGAAGACGTCACAGCTGAAAGCAACGTCTTCAGCACCAGGAGCTCGATGCCCTCATCCCCCATATCGTAGCACTTGCATACGGACTCCATCACTTGCAACAGAAGCTTGCTCGCGCTACCAGTTCCTACATCCATCTCTCCTCTCAAATGCCCGTGGGCGATAAGCTTTTGCAAGCAATCCAATGCCGGCTCAACAACTTTCGGGGTCAAAGTGTCGCAAGCTTCGAACAGGGGAAGAAGGATCAGCTCTGCATCGGCAGCGCTGTAGCATTTACCGTCATCGAACAAGGGACCCTCATTCTCAGCGGGGGCGGCAGGAGCACCAGAGGCATCCTTATTCTCCGAGGAGGTCGCTTCTGCAGGGGGTGGGGTGGGAGTGGGAGGAGCGGCATCCGTAATTGCAAACTTATCCAGCACCGCTTTGCAGTCCTGCACGAGCTTTCCATGCTTTCTCCACGCAGCATTTTTCACAACCTTGTCTAACGCCGGCGCGACGACCTTCGCCAGCTTACTATTCGCCACAACCGCGGCCCCCATGGCTGCTGCTACTTCCACCACGCCCTCAAGCTCTCGTAAAAGAGCCCTAAACAATCAAACAGCTACATCCAAATCCACCAGATCCACTCGAGAGGAACCGCAATTCGGTCAGATCTACGCCCCGGCGCTGCAGAAACTCATCGAGATCGCGAGTCAGGGGATCGCCAAAAACGAGACGCAAATCAGATCGATCCGGGGCAAGATTTGTCCGCGTCCTCGGCGAGATAACAAACCAGAGCGGAGTCTGCAGAGCGCCCGACTTCAGGAAAAACCAGATACGCGACGATCGATGAAGTAGACGACGAGCGCAGGAAAAAAGGCAGCGGCCAGAGGGAAAAAGGATGGAAGGACGAGACGAGAGCTTGCGAGTCTTCGGAGTCTGCTGCTGCTGCTGCTGCGATCGATCGATCGAGGGATCGACCGAGATTCTGTCCAACGTTCTTGTGCAGGAGTTTTGGCCCAGCGGGAGCGGATCGGAGCGGAGCGCAGCGGGGCCCCTTTGGCGCGGTCCGGCCACTCTGGCGCTTCCCCCCACTCCCCTCCTCCCTCCCTCCCTCCCTCCCTTGTCCACGTACTCCTGCACACCACCAGCACGTCCTGCAATTTCTCGCCCTTTCTCTACCATTTCCCTTTTTATACTCATTTTCCCTCGCATTTCCCACATCTTAACCCCCAATTTTCACAGTCGTCGATTCAAAATCGTGCGGCAGGAATTCTCCGCATTTCATCACGTGATATATTTGCATATATAGCCTCTACACGGAAGAGCATCCATAATTTGCGTAATTCCTCCCCCGGTCCGGGTTTCGATAAGCGGAATACTATTGCCGGTCACGCTAAAAGTGCTCGGTCAGCTAGAATTAGAGAAAGCTCGACGTCAATGTTCTGTAGTGCCTGTGCGTGCGTTCGTTTGGTCTCCATCGGAATCGTAGAAACGACAGCGTTGCTAAAATCGATGCCCTGAGCTCCGTCATACTCTTTCTACTCATACATCTTTTAATTTATAATGTGGTGGGAGATTATTTAGTCTAGAGATGGGTCCAGAATCAAAATATATTGGTGGGCCCGGAGATTGCATAATAATTATAATAATGGAAGAACACGTACTGGGTCTTGAAGGGGCTTTAATTCGGATTATTTTCTGCCCACGAACTTGATATTGAGCCGTAGGAAGTCACCGGTCAAGCACAGTTGGAACATGTTGTCTGTAGGCAAGTAATATCGATTTTCATGAGCATAAGATTCCTATGCCAGATAATCGGCTGCGCAAGTAAACGCGGATGCTCATAGCTGAAGGAAAGATTGGATCTCGCCGATTGCTGTGAGGAGCTTCTCGTTCAGCTGGAGGACATTGCGCTAGCAATTCTGGTGCATTCGAGCTCTGTGCGATTGATCGCAGAGAGCTTCATCATATTTGACGTATGAGTCCCAATGAGAGTGCTGCAGAACGAAGGAATTGAAGGTGCCAAGGCTTTTCGCTGTGGTTTTGGTGGTACCCCTGCCAGGTTCTTGACACGGAAAGGAGCGCGATGCCCACGAGTGACGGCACTGATCGAGGCTTGTCGCTCGAGGCCATCGCGAAAGGAAAGCCGTTCTTTGTCGGGTGGCATCGTCTCACTTTACCGAGTGCGACAGATCCAAATTATCAACCGAAGAATTATTCTCACTTTCTTAATGCGTGCTGCAAGCGTCCCCCTCAAGCCTGGCTGCCTGCAGATACAGCTTTTCCGCGAGTGATTGAAATTCGACGAAGTCTTCTTTTCTCTGCCATGATAGACTCCCACATAGGTCGAAGTCGACTTGAGGTTGCTCTATGAATGGACCGGCAATCACTTCATGAAACCCTTCGCTCTCATCGTCTCGATCCACGCACAAGCCCCTAATTATGGGACGCTATTGGGGTCTGCAGATCCGATACGGAGGTATCGACCATGTGATGGGTAAATGCCCTCCCCACCTTGGCCTGGAGGGAGGCATATCTCTTGACCGCATGCTCTTGGATAAGTCGCTGACAATGTCACTGGAACTTTTGTGTACAAGATTTTTCCAAGAGGCGGTTGATTGTAAGGCAGGTTGAACCCCGGGGAGGGTGAGTATGATCAGAAACTGAAACAGCTGTTTGCAGATTTCTCCTCTTGCTCAAGAGGTATAGTGGCCTAAGACGAGAGTACAGTCATTATCGGATGCCACATCGATGTATACCTCGGAGTTCAAATGTTTTTGATTTAATGTACAAGTTGACATTCTTACAATACAACCATAGCGGAGCTCTGCAAATCAGCAGATGCTCCTCCTGGAACTTGCACCTGCAGGCTAAAACCATCAACCGCGCGCCAGAGAATGCCTGACCCGAGTCGTAACGATTTCCACCCGTCGATTTGTGGTTGGGCTGAGAACATTGCAGTCCACAACCTTGGAGCTCATGAAGGTGCTGCCCTTGATTCTTTCATTGACGTTAATACGGCACTCCAATCTTCGACGTCCTCCGCTCCATTGACCACCTGAACCACATCAGGGCTTCATATTGTCACAAACCTTCTGAGAAGCGGAGCCTGAACGCTCCTCAATTCAGATAGAAAACTGAAGATGAAGGTCAGAATCCAGCCAGAGGTGACATCCAGCAAGCAGACTGTGAGACGAACCAAGTCGCCATTCTTTGAGGATACGAGAATTTACCTCGAAAACCAGCGCATTTTCAGGGGGAGCATCGAGGGCTTCGGCGCAAACGTAAGCAGCGTCTTGTCTGCTGATGGTGCCCTGAACACTGCCACCCTGTTTTACAAGATCCATGACAACCATGGGAAGAGATTTAGAATCAGAGAGAGAGAGAGAGAGAGAGAGAGAGAGAGAGAGAGAGAGAAGGGACGAGATTTGAGCTGGAGGGGGGAATGGATGAATTGATTGATTGATTACCTGTCCGTAGCTGAATCCGAGCTGACCACCCGGTTCATCTTTCAGAGCACCTGCTCGGACGATCGTGTACGGGACCCCGAGAGAAGAAATGGCGGCCTCATTCTCCTCAGCGTCTCGTCGACCCAGGGCACCGAAGAGCGATCCCAATCCGGCTTGATTTCTATTTACAGTCAACTACAAACCTTCATTTACTCCTTCATTCAGGACCGAGAATTCTCACAATCGTCCATCCACGAATGAACAACCAACAACTTACTCTCTGAGCTTGATCACACTAGACACTAGTCACTTCGAGACACTTTTTCATGCAGAGCAAACGAAGCACACGGCGGAGGAGGGGCAGCAGGTAAACCTTAGAGAGCAGAACAATGTGCTCCACCCCTTTTACAAGTTCTCTATCTGCTAGTCCTCCCACCTGCAAGACACTTCGGATTCAGGACATAGACTCTGGATCTGATCTTTTCAATTTAACGTGAAGCAAGAGAACAGAGTGTTCATGTTCACAATTATAATACAGCGATAACATTTCATCGCCCGTCAAACTTTTGCTGAAGCTTCGAGATAACAGACATGGCGAGTGGGGCCTGGAACGAACCTTCGTGGGGCAAATTATGGCACGTACTCCTCGGAGGGACGATTTCAGTATCGCCCTGTCATTGACGTCTCCTTCTACTGGCTTTCAAGGTCAAGACCGATAGGAATTGAAGTCAGCACCCTCATGGTAAGAATCAAAATTCCGACTCAAATGAGAATGTGACGGAAATGAAACTGCAAGTCTTGGAAGCTCGGTCCCAACAAGTCATCGGAGACCGGCGCTTACCTCCACGTACGCACCGAAACCTACTGTTGCCGATTTTATGTCTTTCACGAGCGCACGCACCCGCAATCTCTTCAGAATGAGCTCCAAAACTATCAGCTGCAACATAGCCATTTGAATCATTTTCGAGGCTTCTGTCTTCCGCCATTAACAACTCAATTACTCCGGCAGAAAAATGAAAGGCCCGCCATCGATTCAACACATGTATTCTCAGAGGGTGACAAGGAAGACTTCATGGAGGAAACGCCTCCGCCCCGACATTGGTAAGAGAGAGCGACGAATTGGCCGATGATGGACGACATTGAAGACATGAAGACACCTCTAAGTGATGTGGCGACACCCACCTGACCTGTTTCGCTGTCGGCATCCGTGACGAGTACCACATCGCGGACCGTATCTTCCTCTGGTTCTTCTTCTTCTTCGGCTGAAAGTTCTCATTACAAATTCGAACTGCGATTAGAAAAATTCTAAAACTATCATGATCGATTTATTTTAAAACATTCGATGTAAGTGTCTGCAGATTGTGATCTCTAACAGTCAAATATTCTATTTCGTTCGATAGAAAAATCACTGCATTGCAATTATCGTTGTTTAACATGAATTGCACCTTCATCTTCTTCCTCGTCCTGGCTCTCACTTCTGGGCATCTGTTCCGGTGCCCCATACCATTTTCTCAACTTCGGACCTCCTGCATATCAGAAACGTCGTTCAATTTCCATCTCGAGAGAAAGAGATTCACCACTCGAGCAAACGGAAAGAAAGAAACCAAAATTGCAGTGCAAGCTAATTCGATGATCGCAATTCGAAACTCGGGCCTTGGACGTTTTCCGAGCACCTCCAAAATCCTGCCAATGGTCCGAGAAAGAAATTCCTGAGCAGATGGAGTTGGGAGCGCTTGCCTTCTATATAATCGAGAAGCTGATCTCCGAACGAAAATCCTCCTCCGCCGCCGGACTTCTTCTTCTCAGCATTGACGACCAGGGGCTTGTTGCTCGCGCTGAATCCGATTCCATCCTTCCTCGCCCACCGCCTGGCGACGATTGCATGACAGGAAGTAGGGTGCGAAGGCGGAGCAGTTCCTGACGTACGAGGCCTTGGTTGAGAAGAGATTGTCTGCACGGCACCAGCTGCTCCCTGAGCTGCCATAGCTGAGAGAGCTCGGAGCACCCGGCTCGCAATTCTCCTCGAATTTCTGGCTTGCAGTGAGATAAGCAACCAGAGGCACACCGAGCCCACCATCCCCGTAGAAACGACCGGCTAAACTAGCGACGCTCTTGCTAAAATAGAGAGCCATGTCAGAGCCGTAAGCCGACCATCGAACACAATGTGGAAGTTGGGCAATTTTGGGCATTTTTCTTTTGTAGTACTTCTGGGGGTTATGATGATGATGGCGAACACCATCCGGAGAGAAGCAGTCCACTAGAAACTCTGGCCACTTCGCATAATTTCGCATCGTTAATTGGCGGTGAAGTCCATGGAATGCACTGCTCGTCCTCTGACTGGAAATTCGATTGTTGCTTATCAAGCAATCATTGTGTCGGAGGACTTGTCCCAGTCACTCTCATGAACTGGTGCAGTTTTTACTCCCACTACAAGCTTTCTATGGTGCAAATCAGGTTCCTTAGCGGAAAGAAAAGAGCTCCGCGCGATCATCAGAGAAGCAAAGCTGCGATTACATGATGTTCTGAAGGGGCACAGCTCGAGTTTTCAAACCGGGGTGTTCTCCAAAGTTAGTCAGGGAATTTTGGCCATTGCTCAATATGTGTTGCTAGTGTAGAGTCATCGTAACGAGTGTCATTATCTGGTATCTGCAACACATTGTTGTAGGTTGAGGAACTTTGCCGTTTACTCCTGAAATCAGAACCCCGATTGGAGTAAGAAGACCGTGCTCTGACAGTTCCCGTTCGAAGTTGGGTGGTCATCAAGCTTTCTCACGAAGAACGCATTGTGCTCCATAAATTGTGGGGATGAGAGGCATATATAAAATCGCATTCACTGAAATTGGTTGACTGTCTGCTAGCTTCTCTTTAATGGCGAGATGCGGTCCCGTAAGAAAAACCAAAACTTTCTTTCTCGCTCAAGAAAATTTGTCCACGAAGAGCAGGTTCAAAGAACACTTTACCAACGATGATATGAACACTCTTAGAAGGGTCTGCAGAACTTTTTCCATTATAAGTGGAAAATATGGACAATAGGCCCATAAAAGATTAGATCCAGTTCAGCATTTCTGACTTGTCATCTGTATCAATCTAATGCACGCGCAATAAGAGAGGCCTAACTGCCAGAACGAATTCACAAGACCAACGGTAGAAAGTTCGACGCTGAGAGAGCCACTCTTTATTAAAAGACGGAGAGGTCAGTGGCCTCATAGCTCTCTCAAAGTTCCATGACCTACATTCAAAAGCCCAGAGATGCGGCACCAGTTTCCAATGTGTTGGTGGGCGGAATATCCGTTGGTCAAATTGACAGTGCAGTGAAGACCTGTACGAGGTATACACCCACACTACAAGGAGAGGTTGTTCCCACTGCTATTGTATTTCTGCTCTTCCTCAAAACCCATCCGAGTTGCTTGCACCGTCCATGCAGTCCAAGGGGCCAGGTTCTATGATCAAATAGCGTTGTTCTATGCGTACAATCTTTGACCATGTGTAAGTGAGTTAGAACTGTACAGGGTGTTAGACTGCTTGTTCTTGTCAGGCTACTTCCACAATATACAGAAATGTCGATAACCTGCTCTTTTAAATGCAGCCAAGTAAAGAGGGAAAAGAGGATTAAAATTAATGAGGTTAGATGCCTCCAATTCACAGAAAATGGTATTCATGTGTTGAACAGCTTACGGAATCCCTCCTTCTTAGCGGCTCCCTCTTTTGCCTGCTCTGCCAAAGCGAAAATTCGTTTTAGCCCGTTACTACTCGAAACTGCTGCTGCTGCTGCCAGTGCAGACTGAGCCATAGCTCCTCTGCCAAGAGCAGCTGCACGAGACATCATGATTTCCCGGATTTCCTGCGTAGCTGATGGCATGAGAGAATTTGCAGGTGAGAGAGCATGACTGGTAACAGCCATCGCAGAAGGGCTAGCTGCAGGTACCCCACCCTGACCCCTCTTGCTGAAAATGTCCAGCAAGGGTTGTTGATCAGTCCTCTTAAGACCCTGCAACCAAGTAAACCAATACGTCAGCACAATAACAACTTCTCTTTCCCACTACTATGATATGCAATACTTTCTGAACAAGGGTTCCAGACATTGCTGCTGTCAAGAGTGAAGGCCATGAAACCATTATCAATTTTTAAATACGAAGTGCACTGACTGGTAGTGTAGACTGATAGTGGTAATCAACCTGTTAAGGTTAGTATCTTACAAATTATAAGCACGACATTCCGTGGATATCACACTAATTTCCGTCATGATCTCACCTTAAGGTCAAGAATACGTTGGAAGTCCATAGCAGTCCCTTCTGGAAGCAATGCTCGGTAGGTGTCTGCGATCGCCTCCATGGGTGACAAAATAACCTAGTTGAGGGAAATAAATAGTAGCATTGTCAAACTGTGTATTGAAAAAGTTGAAAATGAGAAGCACACCTCCCTACATATGTCGTGGACCTCCATGCATTCGATGCATGCTCTAAGACTTCTATTCGTTAAATTTTGTCTCCCGTAGTCTGAATAATATAGACCCCACTGTCTGGTAAAGCGTTATTAGCTTGACTTCATACAAACTTGAATTGTATAGGTGTTTACCTTGAGAAGAGCTTCTGCTTTCCCCATCTCCCGCGTTACGTACTTAGTATAACTCCCTGGCGGTGAAGTCTACAGTAAAGCGATTATTTAATATAAGCCATGTTAACTCAATCGAAAGGTCAGAAGTAAAGACCACGAGTATTTGAGCAGAATTAAGGAACAATCATAAAAACTAAGATTGATGTACACATGTCGTTTGACTTCATAGTTGCTTGCATCTTTGATGAAAATGCGTAAAGGTTATGAGGAGATTGCACCTGCCCACAAAGAGAAGGGACTTCCAATAACAAGGTCTTCACGGCATGTGTATCCAGAAGCATCTGCAATCAGTCGCAGGGATGGGCTGTTGGAGCATGCTCTTATTGTCGCGAAACTTGGGCTATTAAAAATTGCCAGAAAGAAGCTATTTTGCTTAAGCATGAGCAATCTATTCAATATTGTAGAATGGTTTCGACATGTGTTCAATCGAATTACCTGCTGGGCACCCGTCTCTGAGATGCGCTTGCACTTGAAAATGTTGAAATAAAAACGTGGTGCAAAAGAGGCTGCCAGCTGCATCACAGGAGATTGTAGTTACGCAAAACTCGATATCAGCTCCACTACACCTATACGTACTAGGCGAGTGACTTTCGTCTAGACTTGGCATCAAAAATAGTCCGTGCTGCAAAAACCAGCTCAATTAAGGAGATATCACAGCGCAAACAGGATACTTAATTACGAAAGGCGCATCTTGTTCTCTCTCGACAGACCTAATCCATAACAGGTGTTTCATTGGCATTTCTCTGGCAAGACCACGTCCAGGACCAGAGACTCTATTGGAAGAACCTTTGAATATAATAGTGTAATCGTTCAACCTACCTTATCCATAAAAAACTGAAAGTAGAGCCGAGATAGCAGGCCAGAAATAATAGGAACACTGCTTGACAAAATCGCGCTGATTCCATTTACATATCTGCACGTCCAAGATCAAGAAGCATTCTTTAGGACAACTCCAAAACTGCCGATGAAAGTAAGCTCTGCATAAAAAAGTCCAAACCCGTGCACACAACAAGATATGAATGTAGTGGACGACATACTCAGACTGATCGCCCACTCCCTCAAGTGTTCCCCAGGACATCCTAGCCATATTTGCAAGCTCTGCTTCCAATTTATTCTCAAGACCGAGCACCAATGTTGATAACGCTTTTGTAATAACTCCTGAAAACTCGTCCTGTTCAAAAGACAACATCGGAGGATTTCCAAAAGCATGTTTTAGATAGAAGCTCACGATCATTTTCTTATATATGGCCCCGTGTTGAAGCTGGCTATAAAAGTAATGAGAATCGCCAATTTCTATCGTTAAAGAAAAAAACCAGTTTTTTAACATTGAGGGACATAAGTATGCGTAGTCAGAGCCACTGCTGCTACATGCAGCCATGAGAGAGTTGAAAATCACCAAACATTTGAAAGCATCTAATTGCTGTCAGTAATTCCTATCCCACGTTCCCAGGCCTTTATCATGCAGCTACTAGATACAGAAGTCGATGAGGGCAGCTTGCACAAGGAGAACAAACGGCACCTGTTCTTCCGACATGTCTATGCTCTCTGAAAATTGAGTATCGATGATTTTAGCTAAATTCTCCGCAAGCCCACCTGCCTGCAAGAAACAACTACACAGTATTTAACCAAACCAGCTGATGTTTCGACGAGGTAGAATCGGTTACAGTGAGTTTTCAACGACACTGAACACGAAGTCATCAATATAATCAAAACCGTATACCGTCTCGTGGCAGTATTCCGCGGTATTTACAATGTAACATATCACTCTCTCCTCTCTGTCTGTAACCTGCCACAACCCAAAGAATAACGTCAATACTAAGAAATCCACGACTGATCATAGACTATAGTCCAAGGTCAATGATACCACAAGGCTACGCATCACATTCCCGTTAGGTACAACAGGTCCTCCGATATTTAGCTGATCCACTAGATTTTGTGGAATGATGCACGAAACATCGCATCCCATGTGAAACACCTTGTTAAGGAGGGAGATACCTGAACAATGTTGAAGTGAGGAGATGTATAAATTACTTATGAAAAGGCACGCTGTGTACCTTTACTTGTCCCTCGGTACCAGTAGCTGAAGCAACAAGGCCTGTCCCACCTTTCGGCAGCCGCGCGGAAAGTTTACCTGCATATGCTTTGAGAATACGCTGAAATACCTATGGAGACCGAAAGGTAAATATATAAGTTTCAGAATCTCTTGTTCAGTCCTGAAGAAATCTTATGTGAAAGCCAGAGGAAAGAAGCCGAAAGCCGAAGAACTATCCTAAACCCTAAACCCTTATAACAAGTCTCCAAGATTATAACCTCAAAACACGGCCAGTTGATATACAACTCAGATTCTCATATTGATATTCTGAACCAGACCTACAGAGAAGTGTCGGGTTAACAATTCCAGGATGTAAAACCAGCAGTACCTTGTACAGATTAAAGAGGGTCTGATTCCTTGTTAGTGCACTGCAGCGTTTTAAGCTTCTCTTGATAATAAGGAAAACCTGCTCTCAAACCACGACATCATTCCAACACAGATGAGAAACTGCATTGCTCAGAATTTACGCTGCGTATACCAACAACTCAAGATAACATCATCATCCGTGTGAACTGGCAGGAAAATATTAGTAATATTATCTCCTCAGTATTCCTCATCAGACTGTCCAACACCAAGATATACTCGTTTGCCAGACTTGATGTAGTGAACAAAGGTACAAAGTATATGATCAATTTTCTGAAGGACGACTACAAGACAAATCTCTCAAGCGCGACCAGACCTAGAAATTCATTGGGAGTAGTCAGTTACTGAAGAACCTGTGCATACGCATTTCCTAAACCAACTGAAAGTTACCTGTGTGCTGCTAACAAGAATATTTGTTTGGCTGCCCTCCTCAGCCTCCCAAGTCTCCTCCTGTGCCAACGAGAATGTAGTTGTTGTTAATCCTCAGAAAGTTTCCAGCATATTACACATCTAATGATGTAACGAATTTGTAGATAGATGCCTTCATCGTCGTTGACTCGAGTACATTACAAGTCCTGATTACAAAAATGTTAAAATGGATGACAATTTGAAAGAACCGACTTGCCTGGATAAGCTTTTCCAAGTTTTCCATGAGAGTTTTCTCCTCCAGCTCTACATAAGCACCCAAATGTGGTTCGAAGCAGGATGACACAGTTCCCTTGAAGCTGAATCCCGCAAGTGCGGCCTACAAAGGTTCAAGCACATGAGGTCTGCTGTTGAGTGATGACGCAAGGGGCGTAGCAGTTCTTGACAAATCAGACACGGAAATGGGTAACAGTTGAAGCCACAAATGTCTTCCAGACACTTTCAAAACTTGCTAGAAGTAAAAGCTTTAATTACAGAGCTACTCAATATGAGGACTTTTGCAAGGAACTTACAGCATTGCCAGCAATCTGCTTGGTTTGCTTCTCAGAGTCTCCTTCATGCTGGACCCAGAAAGAGAACCCAACATAGTAAAGGTGAGCTTCATAACTTAAATACGAGCATGTCATGTCATCCCTAAATATAGATCGAGTGCAAGACTCTGACAACCTTTATCCTCTGTGTATTAGACGTCAAGGCAAAGTAATTAATTCCGTCCACTTAATTTTATCGCTGCCCTAATGCCTAATCTCGACCTTTAATAAGCTTACTGCTCATTAGACATAGGTCAAGAATTATGAGTGACATACCCATCCCTAATTTCCAGACAACACAATAGCTGAAAGGCTTTTCTGCAAACGAAATTAAGCGCACCTCGGATGTTAGTAAGGTCTACACTGCACATATGAATTATCACTACCTGTTTCAATGCAAGCTGCTTTTGATATTTCTTCCTTATAGCTGAAGCTGTCAATTCCCCATCCTTTTCAGACCCCTCAGGCGCATCATCATCACTGTCCTCATCCGTACCAGCAGAATTGCTGCCTTCTCCAAATCGTTCTGCCAGCTCTTGCTCAAATTCAAGTGTCCTCTGCAAGGCCTGGACAAGATGCAGCCAAATCCAGCAACTTCAACTATAAAGTTGGTTCAGATGCAAACAGGGTTTAATGTCACATGATTTTGCTCGCTATATAGTTCCAACAAATTCCGGCATGCCATACAGAAGTCTACAGTGTGGATAAGACAGTTACAAGCTTGACAAAGATTAATTCAGATGACGTCTGATGAGCTTCCAAACCTCATCTAGTTCAGATACAAACTTACTTCGAGTCTGATCGAACTAAATCAATGAAGGACAATAGAAAGTTCACGACGCTGCTCTACAATGATAAGTTCATGAAGCTTGAATAAGATTTGAAATCACGCGTTTAAATGTCAACGTCTTTATCAGGTCAATTGTTCCCACCAGACTAGCCTTCAATAAGCTGATCAAAGTCCCGAAGATAGAAAGTAACCTGTAGTAGCGTCGCCACATCTGGCTTCGGCTGCGCTGTATCTAAGATCTCCATGAGCTGGGCCCTAGCATTCAAATCCGAAAACCACAGTGAACACAGGAACTACTTCACGATCATGAAGCAGAGGCAGCCAGTGATTACAGACTTTCATGGTTGACAAGTTTGACCAAAAAATATTGTTGCAAACTTATGGTAAAGGAAAGATGACAAAAGTCGATCCGTGCATCAAGACAAAATTTTCTTCATTATCAGGACATAAATTTGCATCATGCTTTGCAGTGATTTCAAACTCGATGGCAGCACCAAATTGCAACAACTCACCTCGTGACTTTGCAAAATTGCATGCACAACAAGTATGAAACCCGCCAGGATGGTGGAAACATTTGCCAGATTTCCTCGTTAGCTCGTAGCTGCCTCTTTATCCACGCATAACGTCGCTCTGCCTTGTCCAACTTTGCAACTTCTGTGGAGAGCAATTCAGCAAAACTTTGAGCAGTCAGAACAGCAGTACACAGTTCAAAAACCAAAATCGATTGGTGGTTCTCTTATTGGCCAGGTCTTGAGTCAAAGCAGTGTCTTCTTCAAAGTAGATTTTATCACCATATAAATCGATTACAGGTTTAATTCAAGGACCTCCTGCGATATGGATTTAGTGTGAACGGGTTCTAAAACCAACTCGAAGGAAGACTGATGTCCACCAAAGAGACAACTGTGATATTACATTAAGTGGAGTCAAAACAAACCTGTCCCCTGAAATATTTGTTGATAGGCGGTCAACTCCTTACTGCAAATATTTCGGATAAGTTCTTCTCTAACAGACTCGTCTAGAGAGTCGACCACCAGGCATGCATCTGCTAGTTGTTGCATTTGTTGCCCGTCATCCTTCAGTCCCGCGGTCCCTAAACTGAGACAGATGTTTACGTCTCAAATCAGAAATTGCAGTGCAACAACTAATTTGCATATGAAACCACAAGATAAATGTTTTAGCAAACCTTGAAAAATCGGAGTAAACGTGTGATTTTAGCGTCTGCTTGATATTTTTGAACTTCTCCCTCAATTCTGAGATTTTGGCGATGTCACTATACGTTTCAAAATGGCTACAGAGTTGATTCACAGCCTGCACATAAAGCTGTTGTCATTGAGTTGAATCGACCATGACAACCCACGAGCACCGTATACTACTTTGGTAAGGAAAAAATGCTCCGACCAGACGATTTGATCTGCTTCTCCTGACAACCACCTACCTCAAGCTGTCCAGCTGCTTCTTTGTACTGACGTTTTGCGGCCATACCTTGCAGCTGCTCGACAGCTGACACTGAAAACCAGGAGACATGGATTTAGTTATAAGTGATAGAAGCTAGGAAATTTGACTAGAAAACAATTTCAGAGCGCACTGACATTCAAGATATGGTTCTCACATATACTGGAGCTCGTCTTCACTCTCATGACTTACCCAGCATGGCAAGCCGATGAAGTGCTGTGATGGTCATGGTTATGTGTTTCTTCGCAAAGTCAAGCTTTTTAATGTCACGGCATATCTCTTGCACCATCACTTCGCTCTGTTCTGCTTTAGATTTTATTTCTTTTATTTTTTGTGACAGCTCCTGCAGAGCCGACGGACAACAATAAGGAATGTGGTTTCCAGGTATTACATTCAGCAAACCTTGTGCTTGTGCAAACCCTTGCCCAAAAGTGGACAGCATAAAATGCCTGACGAGAAGTGCCACATATGGACTCATTACAATAACTCTTAAAAATACATCTCAATGAGACATGCTTTAGGTGCTCTGATTGTGTGAGAAGAAGGTGTATTGAAAGAGCCTTCGGCACCTGGATAGCTCGCATTGCCGCTGCCAGATCCTCTTTAGCTTTTGAGCCTGATGAGCTCTGCAACATGATGTACTCAAGTACATGATCAGATAATTACACAAAAGCCAAAACCCTTTTCTTCTCCATCCACAAATCCTTATGTCCCGTTTACAAAAGTGAACGACAATGATCAGTAGAGATTTTTGAAACAATGTTGCACACAAACGATATTGAACACTAGTCAAATATTCCATCACTCACTTGTTGCCGTATGGCGGCCAAAATCTCAGCATCGACTCGACGAATTTCATTCCGTAGCTTGTGTATGAGGGGGTCCACTGCAACCAATGATGCCTCTGCAAAAAATCACAGAGTAATTCAGAACTTCGGCCCTCGAAAACACACGAGTTCGTAAACGAACATTTATCGTTTAAAACCGGCGCCCACAACTAGAAAACGTGACTGATCGTGAAGAAGAAGAAGGCGCACATATATGAAATTAATGGAACAAGCGGATGGAAATTTCATGTCCAATTGAACAAGAAGTAACCTGCCCTGAAATCACGACGAATCGTAGATCTGGGAAACAATAAACTGCTCGGGCGATCGGGACTAAGCTCACAGAAAACTGCGCGAAGTATAAAATTTCCGAGTCGTGACGAGAACCCAACTCACAAGAACGAAAAAGCCAGTAAAATAGAAATTGAACATTGGACGCACCGGTGGGGAACATCGTGTTGATGAACTCCAGAGTGCTGGAACTCGCCGAAGTCACCGCCATTTTTCCAACCTTTGGACAACGCTTTCGATGCTCGGTGATCAGATTTCCAGATCAAATTTGATCTACACTCGAAATTTGCATCTACATTGCCCTGTTTCTCGTCAGCTGCCGTTCATCTGCACTCGCGCTCGTGGTGTTCCTGTGTTCTCCCCTCCCGTCTCCAGACTCTGTCTGTCACTCTTCGATCCCGGCAAAACTTTTCTCCTGCCCAAAGATTATTCCTTCCCAACGATCGCCCGGGCCTTGAGTCCACGGGTCCTCAACTCGAGGAAGACTTCATTCCGGATCCTTGCGAGGGTTTAGTCCTTCCCGAGGGCTACCGTAAGGACCATCTATCCGATCACGTGAGATCGCAAAATTGGTACCCAGAGTTCTTTAAGCTTCTATGTGTTTGACGGCAATCTTTTCATTTCCCGTCTTTCACTCTACGCATCATTTTGGCTCAGCTTCTGTTGACCGCTGTCGAAGTCTATCATATGGGCTAAATGTATCTGGAATAAAAGATTTGGAAATGCAAATATATCAAACCAAGTAGACTTGCAAGAACCATAAACCTTCCACCTTTGGTTAATACCTTCCCATCTACTTTGCTATCTGTTTATTCAAATTTTATGTAGGACTAATTTGTGGAGATATTTTTAATTGTCATATGACTTGTTACCCCTACAAGTATTTTAAACGTTCATACTATACATAATTTGAAACTTTAGATTCATGTTTTGAGATTTATCGTATGATTTGATATGATGTTGATTTGAATCTTCTAATGTTAGTTATATATATATATATATATATATAAAAACAAACATTCAAAGATTAGTTATCCCTCATACTACTATACTTTACCAAAGAGAGTTCTCTCATTGATCATGGTAAAACAAAAGTACTTTCGATACCATGCAAGTACAAGGATCGAACGTAGTAAGAATCAGAAATTGTGCACAGCATGGTAGAATATGGTAGCAAGACTTGATGGGGGATTTTTGCGGGTACAAGTAAAATCTTAAGTAGTGCACAACATGGGAGCATATGAGAGTAATACTTTACATGGTATATAATTTTTGCGGTGACAGGAGGAAAGGTGAGAATTGAAAATAATGCACAACATAGGAAGATATGGCAAAGAGACGATGGCACTTTGCTCTCAACATGGAGTAATCTATTGGGTTGACTGTGGGTAGAGTTTGAATTGACTGAATTGCAATCGTTGCTCAAGGTCGTATTGAATGTCTGATCAATTAAATTTAGCTTAAGTGTGAAATCTACTTTTGCGCTAAAGTGAAGCGAAGGTTGGTTAGATAATATAATGAACCAATGGAAGTTCAATACGCATTTCAACTCACACCCCATGATACAACCATGCAGATTCATAATTTCATATCGTTTTACAACGTGAGATCTCCCACACAACATTGAACGTTGCGCCATCGATTATGCAAGCTTATGCGCTGAGTCAGGACTACGCCGTGGTGATTAAGCGTAGACGCAAGTTTGGTAACAAGAAAAATGAAACTATCAAGGGACTCAATCTTGTGTGTTCATGTTGGAACAAATCGGTTGTACATGAAGATTCTCTCCAATGCTCACCGTAGCATTGATTGTGAATTCACAGCCAATGCTACGGTTGTGAATTCAAAACAAAGATCAACAGCGGACTAGGTAGAAAAAAAGAAGAACAATTCCAATTTATATGGAATGTACAAGTGCAATCTATCCAACATAAGCACGACGGTCTTGCTCATCCCATCGCCCATCCGCAAGGACGCATCCTATGAGATCAATGAAAGACAAAGTTCCAACTAGCACATTAACTATCACAAGGATTGTTGCTATGACTATAGAACTTCCACTATCATCTACTATATCAATATTGAATAACTTTTACTTTAATTCTAACTAACTAAAGATATTAACAGTCTATCATAAAGATGTTGGCAAAAAATAATTTGCAATAAGTATGATGCCAATCAAGTCTTTATACTTAATAGAACCTTAAAATCTTCAAGTATGACATTCCCTTGCTCCACGTTGTTTCTATGATGGTTATCGTCAACACTTTTATCTTTGACTACTTTTTTCTGTGGCGAAAGAAGTATGAATACTACATATATACGTTCAACAACATTAAAACAATTTTCATCAATTTTGGTGTTTCCCCAACAACTTTTGTCATGGATCAAGAATTTGCGTTAATAAACGCATTGAACTCGCAGTTTTTTGACGCGGTTATATTCTTGTGCCGTTGACATATGAGCAAAAACATACTTGCAAAACAGAAAATAAACTTTGCGACTAAAGAAAATTGGCAACAGTTTTTTGATATTTTGAGTGTATTAATGAATTTGACGACCATCTAAGCCTATGACGCACAACTTGCTGCTATGCGCAACTTCTTGGTAATTTTCATGGATTACATCAAAAGATACTTGAGTTTTTTAGAAGGAAAGGTAAATATTGATGTAGTTTTTTTTTTACTAATGCAAAATTCATTGTTTTGACGCAATTTTTTATGTATTCACGTTGTTTTGCTGATTTTATACTTTTGTCTTTGTGTTTCTGCATTGAAAGAATCATTACGGCCATTCCTTCACCTCGCCTGAAGAATGCGCATGTTGTGTTGAAAAATGATTGATGTACTTCATAAGTGATTTTTGGTCAATGGGTATTACCCTATAGCTTGCATGCAACAGCCAACTTGAGATAATTATTCAACAAAACGCAAGAGAATGCGCCATACCTGAGATGTTATTTGGATCTATGTTTCGCAATGTTATTGGCAAAATTTTAGTCAAAGGATTGAAACAAGCGTATAAGGAGTACAAAATGATCAATTCATCACCAACCGAGCAACTTGACTATCATCGCATTTTCTCATCAACAATGGGCATTTTCAATAAGCACGCATTCTAGGATTGTACGCTAGAGGAGTTCGATCAACACTTGTAGTTGTAGTTGATGCAACCTACGCATGTTGCACAATTGGAGGCATCGCCATCTCCGTATGTTGTCGCGTTGCAAACAATAATTGATGAATATGCTCACGTAATTTCACACCGCCAACGCATGTTGTTTGATCATGTCAAAGTAGTTTTGGCGGTTGAGATACGAGAGCTTGCAAGCACACCAATGCGCGACTGACCAACCGATTCAACATGCAAACTGTATTTTGAGTTTGACCTCGCGGATAGTCGACAATGACAACAACGGTGGTGTGGTCATTGCAAGCAATTGAAACATAATGTTAGATACTACAATACAAAACTATACGGAGTTCAAGTTCTTGACCATGCTCATTCTGCTGTTGCCGCTATTTCTATTCCGAGTTCAGCTCACAAAAAAGCCCATATTTTAGACGTAGCATCCATCCACCTATTTTTTTAAGCTTACGAATCACATAATTTTTTTTGGTAGAGCATAGTAGGATGAGAAATAATTAGCCTAAACCGAAGTATAACTAGCCGCAGTGATTGCAAACATGATATGTTATTTCACAAATATTTACTGTGTAAGATATCATGATAATTGATAATATGCATCTTTCTATATTGTTCAAAATAAAAAAATTACTTGATGGGATCTATTGTAAAACAAATTACTTACTAGAACCCATCAAAATTTTGTTTTATCTAACGGAACCCCATCGACAGCACATCATCGCCAAATTCTAATACATGTCTTGTACATATATATATTATGATGAGGGTTTATTAACTCTGAAAGTTTGTACTTGATCAAATTGAAATTCCTAATAAAATTTCTTGTGAACATTATCATTACTCATGGAACAAGTGTCAAACAAACTCTACTCCCTATGAATGCATTACTTCTCTCAACTTCATATCACTCCACAAATCTAAAGAGCATTGTCATCTGTCAAAGGTTGAGGCGGATTGTAGCTGTTTCATTTGATAGTTGATTGGTGAAACACTAGATTATATTTTTGTTCGGGACAAGAAGTAACGAAGATGAAAACAAGGAAGCAAGGGTTTTGAAAAAGAACACGGGCAGCATTTGGAAGGGAGTGAATAGGTAAGTAAAACCTAAAGCATATTGCAAATGCACATACTCATGATATGGTGCATCATTTGAAGCCATGATTAAGTAAAGTCAAAATTGCATGCATCGTCGGTCGGTTGATACTAGAACATCAGTGAAGTGTACGGTCAATAGAATACTATCCGATTCAATGAAATTGTATGATTTCAGTAAACAATTTGCGTTACGGTGTGGTTACATCAAGTAGTTAACTCTTTCAAAACGGTACTTATATTAATTGTGAGACTTTATATTTTTTGTTTAATTGCATTACTTTCCTATACATAGATAGTTTTTCAGCAATAACTACTTGTACCTAGATAGCATTATTATGGTTTCTATCAAGTAATTATTTGCAAAATATTTGATCTTCATAATGAAAAATAACATGTGAAGTAAATACACACAAGTTATACTCTTTTTTTTTAAGTTTGAATTAACACAAATGATGATATAAAATCTTAAACCGTGTATAAAGTACATACTTTTTCAAAAATATCTATTTTGGATCAAAAAGTATAAAATTGTCATCAAATTAAATTTCTTTCCATATTCATGATAAATAGTATTTATAATATTAAACTGATAAATCATTCATCATTAAGTCCCACCAACACCGGAGACACGAGAGTATAACATGGTTCATCCTTTCAAGAGCTACGTCCACGAGTAATAGCGTTGTGATAGTATACTTACATTCTATTTAGTAAAATACAGACCATGGGTATATATATCCAACACCGGCGATCACTTTCAACTATAAATAGCTAAATGTGAGATTCCTTAACTCATGTTAAGTAATCTCAGTTTGCCTCCCTTACTTATATTATTACTTTCCGGTAAGTTCTAGACGGAAACCTACTACAATGTTCCTCTTTAAACGAGAGTTAACTAGAACTAAGCCGTAGCCATAACACGATAGAGTAATAATATACAAAGGTAACTAACAATCTCCTGCTTAACGTGTGTTAAGAAATCTCAGTCACCATTGCACTCTTAACCTCTTAACCTCTCATCTCAAGTTAAGGAATGTTCTTCTAACTTAGATTAAGTAACTGTTGCACTTTTAAACTTTCAGATTTTTACTTGTCAATATGAAGATCATGTTCACTCTTCCACTATTTCAACAAGCCATGCACATTAAAATGAGAAGACTACTCTCCCACTCTTTCAATGAGCTAGTCACATTGAAAGATCATCTTTTTGACAAGAATTCTTATGACGTTCATCACTCACCGTCACTCCAACTTACAGCACCCGCGATTAACTATTACCATCGTCCGCGACTTACCGCGTCCACGCC